TGGATTGTTGGAAATAACTCTCCTTCAGCAGGAGCGCGAAGTAGTTTATTGTTAACTACGAAGTTGGATATTGCGACCTTCAATGTTATGTGCATCCATCTCATCGCGATTACGAGAATTCTGCAGTCCGTTAACTTCTGCTCGCAGTCCCTGCTGAGGTGGTGACCTCTAAACTCGTGCCGCCCTGGGCACTCGGCTGACCGGTCCACTTTCTTCTCAGCCCGCGTGACCGTCTCTGAAAACTTTGAAATGTCTTGAACGATCTGTCTCCACCGGGAGCTGGGATGACCTGTCAACTCGCTCAGACTAAGGATGCGTCCTTTGGGAGCGCCTGGCCTCACACTCCTCACACCGCGGATTCACGTGACAGCAATTTTGCGGGGCGCTCAGCGTGTCATCCCAGTCCTCACGGCATGACACATCTGTGACGTGACGTGACACGGCCGTGACGTGACGCACAGCTGCGTGACAGCGGACGTGATCCAGCGCCGCCCGCGGCCGTCACGGTTCGGGGCTGTCAATGATGTCTCGACTCGGAAGAGGGGTGGACGATGCGAGGCATATGTCATCAACGGCGCAGCGAATCTGACCTGCAGGTCGATGTGTCATCTGACAGGGTCTGTGTGTCATCAGACATGCGTCGACACGGAATGATCCACGCGGTTCTCTGGTCTAAGGTCCTCCCTAGGGAGGGGGCAGTGCGGTCGAACGGTGCGTAAGTACATATCGACGAGAGGCGCCATGGGTGGTGCTTTTCCAGGGAAGTTGGTGGGGCAAAAAGTCGTCAAACACAGCACAAACAAAATCGTCCTACAGTACCCGATTATGTCAAATAAATTGCTACACTGAATATTTTTTTTTACATTATAGAGACAATCTTTTGCAATACACAGACATTTCAAAGCTCCTCAGTACGAAAAAGGTTGATTTACAAAGCAACAAAGCTCTACAGATCAGGTAAACTTGGTGGGGCAAAACGCTTATTGGTGGGGCAAAATGGCAAGTTGGTGGGGCAGCCGCCCCACCAACTGTATAGGAAGCTCCGCCCCTGAGAGGCGCCCCTCCACAGCGAATTTTAGCGCCATGCAGCATGCTCGAGCTGATGTCAACCCCTGTCACTGTAGGTGCGCAAGCTAGTAATGTTTGACATGTTTGGTGTGACATGAACCAGCTTGAAAAGCTGGTTGTGGTGTCATGCCACACTGCAGTAAGCGTGAAGTTGAAGCTTCACAGCAAGCAGACAGCGTTAGACCTTTGGTATCGTGCCGATGACACGACAGCTGAAAATACATACAAGGGTCCGCTATTTCTGAAGGGTCAAACCTCCCCGGAGATATGTCTGTAGTGACAGGGATCTACAGCAGATTTACAAACATACGGTACTCTGGTGGGGATTCAGCAGCACCTCACACGTATGAAGGCTGGATAGATTTACAATCATCAGCCCAGCAGAGAGAACAGAGCGAGATGAGGCCCCCTCGCCCTCTCCGGCTCTGCTCGAGCCACCACCATGATTTATTGCCACACCGTGCCTCGCAAAACATTATTAATTCCAATTATTAATCATAAACAGCGATTAATTAATCAAAACATGCGATCTGTTTAATAATCATAGGGGATGTGTTGTTTAGACGGCGGACGGCTCCGCGGTGTGTGTGGGTGGCGGGCCTGGTCGAGCCGCTCGCTTGGCGAGGATCGGCAGAGAGGGACTCACCGAGGCTCGCCCTCGCCCTCGCTCTACCCGCTCGCTCCAGTGAACCGCGCTGATCGGCGCGTGGGAGACTCGCCCCCAACATGATCACCGGTGTAAACAGTCTGATCCGCTGGTGCGGGGCGCGGTAGGGGTCCCTGAGGCTCGCGCGGGCCGGGGAGGGTGTGCCTGGGACAAACTCCAAGAGCCTGGCCGCCCTTCAGGACATCACAGGTTACCAATTAGCCCATCAGTTCGACCCGGGAAAGCCGGGAGGCGGGACGGCGCGTGCCGCACTGCGATCGCAAATATGATCTGGAGATAACCGACGCACAGTCAGGTGCTCGTCGCAGGTAGGTGAGGACCTGAGATCCCGGATCGCCCACTCGGGGTTATCAGATGGCGGGCGGATCTCGGGAGGTCGCTCTGGATCTGCGGATCTGCTCTGGATCTCGCCGTGGGTCGGCTGAGGAGGGACGGCGGCGGGGACGGTTTCATGTGACACGACCCCCGCTGGTAATCGCCGATCTGAGGACCCGCGCTAGCCACGCGCCGTGTCTCAGGGGGGGGGGGGGTTCCGGCCGCCACCCCAGTCTCCCGCTGACTGACTCGACGGGGAGGGGAGGGGGTGGGGCACCCACACCGACTGACGTCCAGGTGTCATAATGTGCCGGCACATAATGTCAGAGCGGCCCGGTGATGCCGCGCTGCAAATGTCACCGCCGCTAAATGCCGCGGACAAGCGTCAGGTCGGGTGTCGAACGACCACGGGACCACACAGGCCGACCGACAGCCGCCTTTGACTCGATCTACCGCGATTGATACGTCCGAGTGAATTTTTACCAAAAATATGGATACAACTTGTGATGAAGCCTTCAGACAAGTATATCAGTCATTTTCCTCAGGCTGTTAAATTGCGTTAGCGGGACAATGGGAGAGGGTCATGCAGTTTGGAATTGCATTCGTTTGTTTTGATCCATGAAGAACAATTCAGATACGCCATATAATAATTTAACCAAACCGGAGATGAAATCGGCCAGCTAATTCTCACGCCTCAAACTACGCAATATTCAAGCTGAACCTCAGACGGAGCTACGGCGTTTCCAAGCGCTTTGGTTCGGGGATACCGTCTATTTTGCCGGCACGTGAGGTGGCGCCGAGCAGATCGGGCGCCCGCGTGCCGTGCCCTGCCGAAGCACGCCCTGATCGGACTAATCGGCTCGCCGGATCCCGAGAATCCCGCTCTGAGGACGTCAGGCGCTGGCCGGATCGCGGCGCCCACCGCAGAGGCCGCGCGCGAGCACGGCAGGCCGGCGCGGTCCGTTATGGGCGCCGAGCCCCCTCCCGGGCCCTCCGGAATCCTCCGGCACCTCCGGGCTCCTCTGGATACCCCCCGGATCCCGACACGCAACCCTTGACCCAGAGGCGGCGGCGACAGAGTGGGCCCAGAGCTAGCTCAGACGGCCGTGTATCACTGGCTGGCGGTACCGTGACCGTGTATACTGCGCCGGGTAGGTCGGCGCCGGCCGCCGGGTGCGGTGCGCCCCCTGAGTCACAGATCAGAGGGGGCTCCCGGGCCTGTCCCGGCGCCGGCCCGACCGACGGCCGCTCGGAAACGCACCGCGCACCGACGAGCATGGCGTGCGAGGCTAACATCGAGTGGAGTACAACAAACCAGGATGTGATGCACAACGGCACGGAAAGGATTCAACATAGGAACGGATGGAGCTGTCAGGAGCCCTGATGTAGCATGAATCTAAAGACGGGTAATATGGATACAGGAAAAATAATTACACGGCCCAGCGGCGATTTTGATTGTTTGAAGCAGGTTCGTGCCATCGTAGGCGCCACGTATTGGTTTCCCCTGCCCTTTACCCTTGTATCGTGTTGCGCACGCGCCGCAGTGAAGCGCGAAACAAGATGAGAGGGGCCAACATAGCGCGGAACGTGCTACGATCAAACGTAACATGAGCGTATGACCACTTACGAAAAATCGCCTATTTCGAGGCTGTTAAACACATACAAAAAGAACATCAAGCAGGCTTAGTCTACACAGCACGCTACAGTTGAGCATATCCAAACAACATTAAACGATATCCACTTAGAGCTTCAATGGTTGACCTTTCAGCGGTGTACTATCGTATTGCACGTAACCGGAGCTGGCGCCCAATGGTTACGGTCTATAGCTGACTGACGGAGCTGGGCGCGGCGTACGCTCACGTCTGTCAGCTGTGATGACAGATGATCTGGCTGACGGGCGGTCACAGATCGAGCTGACAGACACAGGACGGTGTCCGCCGCCCGCCGCCGCTATGTCGGCGGGCGGCGGACGGTGCCGCACGGACTGACATTTCCCAAATCTGGATACTGTCTGCACGCCGGATGTGGCCGACTTTTGAGGACAAATGACCTGAGGACTGAGGGCTGAGGACAAATTATTGAGGACTGTTGACGGTTGCTAAGGACTATTGACGATCGGTGAGGACTCCTGATTATTACTCAGGACAATTGACGGCTATTGAGGACTATTGATGGTTGCTCAGGACTGGATTCTAATGAAGGTTGAGCGGAGGACCTCTGAGCGAACGAAAATCGATGGGTTACTAGAACATATAACAATGGTTATAGAAACAACAAAAGTCTACGTTGGAACTCTGAGGGCTTATGACTAACTGATGGGTTCTCAGAAAGAGTGAATGGCTACCGCACGCGTGGGATCCGCAGCAGATTCAACGACTAAATTATGCCAGCCGGCTGCCCACGTAACCATTACCGCGGTTGAAACGGAAACTCAAATCGATAGCTTCGGACGAGAGCAGCTGGTGACGACTACGTATAGAAGGTACGCACGGAGACTAGGTATATGGGACGGCTGCACACGAGGACTACATACGAGGACCACTTATAAGGACTATGCCCGAGGACTGTCGCACTGGGCGATGGAAACGAGCACGCCCACTGTCTCACACGGGTTACGAATGGATCGCTAGCCTCGCGGTCTCACACGGGCTACGAATGGATCGCTAACTTTGTGGGTCTGACGGACGAGCGACAGCGGCGGGATATCGCGTATTGACGTGCCCCATACATCCTGTACCTAACGGTGAGTATGGGCCGTGTCTCACCAACCGCTCTGGATTCAGTCAGGAGATCACCACACATCGACCGCGGCCACCACGGAGGGTCGGAGCCCACCAACACAGACCGCTCCGATAGGGCCCGGCCGGGGCGAGATCGCACGACTCGTCTCTGAGGTCACCACAGGGGAGCCGGGGGACGGAGACGGACGGGGCCCGTCCCAGGTACTCACCACCACTTGCTGCCTTTGCCAGAGCTGCGGCTGGCGTCTGCGTGTGTCAGCGACCAGGCCACGGCCAGCAGACAGAGGCCGGCCCAGGCGGCCGGCGCGCGCGTCATCGCTCCACGCGGCGGCTCGGTCACCTCCGCTCGGGTCACGTCAGTCTAGAGCGCGCTAGTCCGCCACTGTGCGCCGCTGTCGGGGCCGCTGCCGCTCCGTGCGCCCGCTGCTATCTCGGAGCTCGTGTCGCGTGCACCCGTGCAAAAACGGCAGCAGCGCACTGGCGCCGGCCGCGGCGGCGCGGCGCTCTGGGGGCGGGCGCTCGGGCCCGTCGGCCGGCAGCCAATCAGCGCCTGCGCTCCTCAGCGGGGGGCGGAGCCTGCAGGCGGCGGCCGGCGCCGGACACCGTAATTGACATACCACTGTAATTGTCGACGACTACGGGAGAACACAGGAAGCCCGACTATCAATGTATTAGTGGCTGGTGCAGCTTAGATGGAGTCTGCAGTGGCTCCGCCCAGTCGCCGCCGAGCCGGAATGGACAGCCTCTGGGCACAGGGAGCTGCCATGGCTCGCAATGCATCCTATACGTCCTTATGTGACAGCTGGGAGTCCAGCTAGCTGGTTAGTGAATGTAATGTATGTGATAATTATTACAGGACTCGTACAGGCGCTCACGAGATAAAAAGGACATTGGTCATAAAACCCCCTAACAATTTCGGGTCTGAGTGGTTGGAAGTATCATTCCGGATACATAAAAGACAGTTGTTTATATTGTTTTTTTTTTTAAGTTTTATCTGAATTAATCTACCAGTCCAAAATGCTAAGTTGATGGTCATTGTTTTTACAAATGGTTTCGCTTTGGCACGGGTGACAAATTAATGTTCCGCAAATTCAAACTCATCTTACCGGTCAAGTTCAAAATATCATAAGAATGAATGGAATACATTCGTATTTTCTGTCCCAAGTTTTCACGCTGCTCTTTGGTATCCCCCAAAACCTGTTTTCAGACGTTTTCTCGGGAATGCACTTCCTGTCTTTGTCCCTGTTTAGTTTGCTCGAGGGCTTCAGAGTGTCTTTTGTGAGACGAATCGAGCTCTAATTATCTGATCAGCTCAATAACAGTATTCTTACACCCCAGCCACCTTTGTCATTTGGGTCCACTGGCAGCGCCAGAGCCATTAACTTTACAACAGGAAAGAGACTAATTAAATCCCTGGATTGTGGGGCCTGTGTATGACGGACTATGGCGTGGAGGCTGGCGCACAAAGCCGCTTTATGACGGTCTCGCACAGTCCTCACCTGCGCGCTCCTGAGATGTGACCCTCCCACTGTGTGAGGCGCCTAATCGTTCTGTAATACTCCAAACGACCAGTGACCTAGAAGCGACGTAGTGCTGTACTCGTATACTTTGTTCGCAATGGATCGATTACAACGCGCAGTGTGAGCGATTTGGGCTTGTCACCAAGTTACATGAATGGTTGTCTCATTTAAAATTAAATTTCTGCGAACAACGTGGCAGGTACAAATAATACTTTAGATAAGTTACTTTGATATTATGCCTAGGTAAATATTTTACTTCGATCAATATCCATGTATCTGGCACAAAAGATGGCAGCGCCTCAGAATGCCATCATATTGGCAATTACAAACACCTAGAGTCATTCCTTTGGAATGAGTTGACTTCTCTTAGACACAAAGTATCTAAAACTTAACAAAAGAATGGACTATGCCAGCATTTATGCCATTTGTAATAAATGTGCAATCACGTCAGCCCCGTATTGTAGCGCTGGCGACAGCATTCTATGTTTTATTTTGTGGACTTTGGACGATCAGCGCGGTCTTGACATGCCATTCTTGCAATACTACACGTCGGAGAGGGCTCTCACGCTCTACACGAAATAGAAAGACGACGAATGCACTAAGCCAAAGAAAAACGACCCAATGTCTGAAGAAAATCCGGTATCAGCTGGCCACAAAGTATTTGATATGAGGATCTGCGGGGACACGATCGGCTCATTTGCATGCGGTAACTGACATATTGCTTGTCCGTCATACCGCTCCCGACGGCCAGCGTATTTATGGCCTGGCCAACAATTTAAAACGTTTTACAGGTATGTCCGAGAGAGGGGAATGGTCCTGTCTGTCGGCAGCACGTGCAGCAGCCTGCACACGTCACGTGGTCAGGTCCGGGTAGGCGACTGCTGTTCCCACGGCGGTGGCAGCGCATATCTTCGAGATAACGACGTGGCACATTGATAAGGCAAGCCCTTCAAATCATATTAAAATTTTTATACCACTTCTATTTTCTAACGCAGATCCTATGCATGTTTCTTTCAGCGATATTGATGAATTGATGTGCCTATTGACAGCTGAGCTAACTACACTTCAGTCACAATGTTTTAGGACTAACTGTTTTATCATATTGACATGTAACAGCATTGTTTGTCACCAGTAAGTGTTTTATAAATATGACCGCACACCTACGGGGTAATTTGCGTCTCCAAATGACTTCAGTGGTCGACGGTATAATGCATCAGACACTCTGGCTCGACTCACCAGTCCAAACAATGTCACTGGGGGAGATATCAATGGCCAATTTACGACTAACCAAGGTGCTAAACGTCGCCAATTGCAGCCAGTCTCCATAAACCATCCCCGGAGGGCCGCGAGACGAGGGTGTGCCAGTCTCGCGAGGGATGGGGAGAGAGGAGAGGGACAGAAAAAGAGAGAGAGAGAGAGAGAGAGAGAGAGAGAGTGAGAGAGGGAGAGGGAGAGGGAGAGGGAGAAAGAGAGAGAGAGAGAAAGAGAGAGAGAGAGAGAGAGAGGGAGAGAGAGACGAAAAATGAACAGAGCTAAAGAGAAGAACGTGAACAGACAAGTAAAGATCAAGAGGTTTGAAAAATCAGTTTTACCTCTAACACTAGAATTTGACTGATCTTTATTCTTTTCACTTATAGCTTGGCAAAGCGCTAAGAACATGAAACGACAGGCATGATCAATAGCTGTGATGTGCATATTAGTACAAACAATTCAAGTATAATGATACTTTAGTTGCATTTGAGACATTGCACATAGGGGAGAGTGGGGAAAGATGCCCAGGGTTTGACTATGTCATATATTATTCGAAAATGACAATCGGAAAGCCAAAACTTGGAGTTTCAACGGAAGCCGACATCATTTTTCTCCAAAAATATCACACTTTCGTGCCTGAAATATGATAACTTTTTTTGCTATCAAGCATTTTCCTGAAGAAGTGAAAGGGGGCATCTTACCCCACAGGGTGGAAAAGACGCCCCCTGGCGCTGGGTAAGATGCCCCCTGCACTAAAAGTGACATAAATAGGCACGTGAATCGCCTGAACGAATCAGTAGTCCCTTCGAGCCTGCAGTAGACACCAAACGTCATCGTAAGGGCCCTCAAAAGTAGTCGTAAGGGGCTTCAGAGGTCATCGTTAGGGCCATCATAGTCCAGCGTGGCCAAACAAGCCTCTGTGGTGGCGTTCGGAGACCACTGTGGGGCCCTTATAGGTCTTCATGATGCTTGAGGGCCCTCGAGCCCATCGTGGGGACCTCAGATGCCAGCGCGGCCCGTGGAGCCAACGTGGGAGCCCTCAAAGGATGTCGTGAGGGGCCATAAAACCAATAATGGGGCCCTTAGAGGCCGTCGTGAGGGCTCTCAGAGTCAGATGCCGCCCAAAAAGTCGCTGTGTGGGCCGAGAGACCGGCATGGGGAGCACCCGACCGTACCGGACTCTCAATAGTCCCAGATCGGCTTTTGTCTCTCATCACAAGTATGTAATACATGATTTGACGGGCTGCTTGAAGGACAGCCTACGGATTTAGGGGGGCGTCTTTCCCCATCAGGACAGGGGGCATCTTACCCCAAGGTACCGAAGTAACATTAAATCAGCACAATTTGTTAGCCATAAAACTACACCCTGAAACAAACTGTTTGGGACACAGTACACGCATGTTAATGTATCACGACTATAGCAAGGGACGCAAAAATTATCTACCTTTTTTGATATTTACAATGTTTTGACGCCAAAATATTTTTTGAAAGCAGCAAATAAAAAACATGCAATCACCAGCCAGCCGTTGCCCAACTGAGCTTAGCAAATTTTTGTGCAGTTAACAAGGCAGGCTTCTGCTTTATGCTAAGAACATTAATTTCCAGGTTCGATTCTTTGTTTCCCCGCTAGAGGGGGTGGGGCGTCTTTCCCACCCTGGGCATCTTACCCCACTCTCCCCTAAACTTTTCCTGCGAGCACTGAAAATATTTTTTAATCAGATCTTTGTTGCCCCAGCCAAGACAGATCATTGCTTTATCGCACAATGCACGCTGAATAAACACAATTTCTTGCATTCACTCAGCTGCACTCACACTGCATATGAAAGACCGACAATCCACTTTGACTTTCCTGGTCAGAAGCACAGAATGCGGCAGGAGCCGTTACCAATCCACAGGATCCTTCCTCACTGCCGTAAGGAAGTCTAGTATTTCTCCAGAATAACTCCGACCGAGTCGGTGTCCGACAGCCTCCAATTATTAACTGGAGCTGTCGGACCGAACGTCTGTCAGCTCATCACAACATCGAGCGCCCTGTTACCAGTCGGCTAATGTACGGTTCACACCGCGCTAATGTACAGCTAATGCACGGCTAATGTATGAGGTTGTAGACCGGGTGCGATTGAACAGTCACACGGACGGTTAGCAGTTGGCAGTTGGTAGTAACGCTGGGGGCTGGTGATTGGCTGCAATGGCGCAATATTAGACGTGAACTGCCTTTGGCTGCCGGGGATATGCTCGTATTACAGCTGCCATCATACATACTAAGCAGTATGGTAAGTATAGACGAATTAAACATTAGATGACAGTGGCCATTGACCAGTATATCCGTCAGTCATTGAACAATGGATAGACTATTGAGTATAGCATCGTATATCTTTTTGGTAACCGATTCATTTTCAGATGACACTTCGAACTTCGAAATTGCTTTTGTGTTTAGGTACCCAGGTTATAGACTTTTTTGAAGTTGATGACGTATGACTCTCTTGCAAGTTCCTCTGTCACTTGTCAGTGCCCAGTTTATTGCATATCAGTGTCCCCGTCTTTGCTTTGCTTGCCGTTTTATTCCCATTTATCTCCATCTCCGTCCCGTCTCCGTCCCGTCTCCGTCCCGTCTCCGTCCCGTCTCCGTCCCGTCTCCGTCCCGTCTCCGTCCCGTCTCCGTCCTGTCTCCGTTCCGTTTCTCTCCCTGTCTCCGTCCCGTCTCCGTC